AAATCAATTTCGCAGCCTCTCTCTCTCTTTCTCTCTCTTTCATTCTGTCTTCCTCGTACGTCAAACAGGCATATAAACACACACGAGATTCCTGGTTTAATTCCCGCGAGTATTTAATGCAACGATTCATGGAGTTCCCTCGCATTCCTGTGTCGTCGGGCACCACCTCGTGGGAGTGCAAATATACGATACGTGACCGCGCGAAGAGGAGGTAGAGAGAGAGAGAGAGGGGGGAGGGAGGCTAAAGATAATAACGTATTCGACGAAGAATGGCACTACTCGCGCAGTCGTCCGTCGCGGTACGAATTACATTGGCGATTGAAACTCGTTCGTGATGGAGAGAAAAAGAGGAGGAAAAAAGGTAGAAAGGAAGAAAAGAAAGCGAGAACGGAGACCTCGGGCTGTCGGAGGTGCCGGGATTTGCATATTAAATGGGTTGGGATTTATAACGGTCGGTCTCGTGCTAGCAATATACGCGATAAATAAAGAACGTTCCCCGCGCGAATCGATAGAGCCGCGAAGTCCGGTCGAATTTTCGCGGCGAGGGCGAACGGAACGGAGATTTCGCGCGTGCCGAACTGAGAGGGTGAAAAATAGAAGCGGGGGAAGAAGAGAAGGAACGGAGGAAATTTCGGGACTCGTTCGATCCGTTCGATCGAATTCACGCGTGTCTCACGCCGAGTCAACATTTTGAACAGATATTAATCCTGCAAGCAATCCGCCGAACCTGAAGAATTAACAGGGAGGGATCTCGGCACGTAAATCTACGCATTACGTGCGTGTGAATTCGTAATTTTTGGATATTTCCTTTCCCGCAGCCTGATCGCTCTGTTTTACACCATCGATCGAGCGATGCGATCGAGCGATCTCCGCGGGATGATCTCTTCGCGATGCGCCGTCAGAAATTTCTGGATCGTCCGAGGGTTACGCGTTGACTCTCGCGAACCGGTTCTCGCGTTCATACCTCGACGGTGCAATCTCGGGCAAAGTTATGTTCCGCTTGCGCGAATTTGTGCGTTCCGCGTGCCTCGTCGGCGCTTTTGATATACGAATACCGCGTCGCATCGCGGCAGGCTCGAAGCGGGACGGACACTTTGTTGCGAAACGGCCTTGGTAATATCTATTATCCGCGCCGAATTTAAAGAGCGTTAAAAAGATAAGCTCCCCAAAAGGTGGTTTTCTCACATAGCGTTCCTACAGAGAGTAAATACAACGCCGATAGATAAAATACCGCGCGTGCGTACACACCATTGACTTTTTGTGTGTTGCTTCGTTTAATCGCTCCTCAATACGATATACTCGTCTCGTTTTACGGCACGCTTGTAATTTAGAGTCTTAATGTAATTATTATTTATTTACTAGAAGTTTTTTCTATTTTACGTAAATAAAAGAGAATAATAGAAACAAAAGTACATAAAGTGACGATAAAGTCAAAGGAAGATCCATATTTCTATGAGCGGCGAACTTAATTTGCTTCTGAGCATGCTTGGAGACACATTCAAGAGATCAGTAATATCAGAAAATTCATTGCATAACATGCTCAGACGATTGATTTAAACCACCCGTTTAACGTTCGATGACACGAAATAAGAAGTTCGATGATAAGAAATAAGAAGAAGCGGATATCGCCCATCTAGCACGGAAATTAAACCCAAGAAGCGCCAGAATATTGCGACAATCTAGATCGACATTAGTTAAATTATGCAAGAGTGACAAATCTGTGATCATTCTTATGCGTTTCGAAGATACGATGTACAACTCGCGTTGTAACGCCGATAATCATGAGATAAATAAGATGTAGGTTGCCGAATAAAATAACTTATGCGTCGGGAAAAATAATGTTGTGCACGTTCTATCATGATGCATTGATTACTCAAGTATGGTGAGCATGTAACGCTACAATATTCAAGTCGCGGGCAAATCAAAAAAAGATATAATAATCTAACTGAAAATTGCATTACGAAAATATTACATCTAAAGTTGGATCCCAAGCTTCTAATAAAACTTTAGCAATAATTTTACGAATGCGGTAATCAAATGATAAGTCAGAATTCGATCAAACGCCAAGATTCTTAATGGAATGAACTTCTGCAAACCAGAAGCCCACTAAAGAGTAATCACAAATAAACGGATTATTATTCCGGGAGACTCTCATTGAAATGATTGCGAGCGGTTGAAGGAACGCGAATCTGAAAAATATTCTCACAGTCGCCATTGTCGAGACAAACAGCGGCGGCGTATCGTCGATAAATATTATTCACGTTCCTATTTTCTTATAAGTGTCGTATCATGATGATCATTTTACGACGCTTCGCACACGAAGGAAAGCCCCGACGAGATAAGGAGGAGTCCTCACAGCTCTGCATTTATTTGCTCGGGAAGCGCCGCGACGTATCGACTTACGGACTTTCTCTTACGCGCGATGAAGGATGACGCGTCGGCCGAGCTTGAAGAGCGCAAAGGGACCCCATTTGTCTCCGTTGCGTCGTTTTCACCCTTTAAATGAGCATCCCGAAACTTACCGGGGGCGAGTACGCGGGCTCTCGAGGGAAGACGCGATGAAATCGCGATATCCGCGAAACGATTTGTCTCCGCGCGCGTTGCGCGCCTATGGAAGAGGGCCTCCTCCGAGCGCCCTAGCTCGGAGAAAGCGATGATAGCAAACACAAATTGGTGGTGGCTGGACTAATATACCCGAATATGATGAATGGTCTTTTATATCCACGGACGTAGCGAGGTGTTATGCGTTACGTTAGTGTTGAATTATTGCGTGCGTGGGGCACAATAACGCAGCCCGCGGGAGGGCTCGGCGGGCCCGGAGGCCTGGCCGGCTTCCCGGACCCACGTTCGCGTCCGAGCTTTTACCCGCGAGACATCGAGATACGCGCTCCACTCGGCCGATGCTTCCTCCTCTCTCTCTCTCTCTCTCCCCCTGCTTCTTTCTCCTTTTTCCTCCCTTTCTTTTTCCCCCTTTTGCCCTCGCGATTTTAATCGAGCCGCGTTACCGAGCGAATCGAAAGATCAATCGGCGTTGATCTCCGCGAGGATTTATGGTCTTCGACTCGTTATTACCATTCACGAGGTATAATAACCCGCGAAACAAACGACGTCGTTCGCGTCATCGTCGTCGTCGTCGTCGTAATATCTCATCACTCGCGTCAAACCCGTTCCCCGATTTACCCCCGCGCCCTACGCCTTACCACTCCACCTCCGTCATCTTTTCTCCGGCCTGTCCGTCCGAGGATTCAGAAACTCGGGGAAAACCCCCCCGAGTTCGTCGAGCGAATTCACCGAGAGCGATAACAATGCGCCGACGGTGACGATTCTCGCGCGTTATGTAAGATCGATGTCGGATCGATGTCGCGTGCGAGCGCGTTATCACAAGTGCGTGGAAGAACGCGTCGGCTTATCTTCCGCGTAACGTCCAAATTGTCGTCCGTAAACGACGAGCGAGCGCGCGGAGACGATCGGAAAGGGGGGAGGGACGCGGACAGAGACGTTGATCCAATCTACTCTAATTATTGCTAGGGAGGTAGGCATAATAATAGCACCGTCTCAGACTCAAAGTTGCGCCACGGGCTCGACGGCGGTGGCTAACGGTTGAGGAGGGGTGGAGCGGGGCGGGGGGGGAAAAAGAACGAAAAGAACAGAAGCACTGACGCATCACTGGCGGGGGCTTGATTGATGGACGAGTCGCCATGTTTATAATTAGAGCCCGACGTTTCCGGTTCGCCGTCCGACGCTCGCGCGGCAATTCGCCGCGGATCAATCTCTCCTCTTCACCGAAACCGTGAAAGAGAGAGAGAGAGAGAGAGAGAGAAGAGTGAGAGACGCGCGCCCGAAACGTGGACTTTGAATTATCTCGTTCATCGTTCGGAGGTGAGAAACCCACGGTGGTGGACGGTTGCCTCGCGGAAAGGCGCGCGTGAGAAAACGTGCGATTTCACAAAGCGGCCGTTGTTCCGCTCGATTCTAATTTCAGTGCTTTCGGCTTTCCGAGCAGATGCGACATGTTATCGGACCTTTTAACCACGCGGACATTTATGACGGCCGGTCGCTCGGTCGCGGAACGGCTCGTCTACGAAAATCCACGTGTGCAGGAAACGAGATGCGGGCTACGCCGCGCGGTCACACGTGTGTGTCTTCCTCAACGGTCGGTTAATTCAAACGGCGAATCTAAAGCGATTCGCGCTCACCACAGTGCCTTATTATTCCCTCGGCGAAAAGTCAGTCGGCCGACTTGCGATCTCGTCTTTCGAGCTCGTATACTTGGAAAACTTCGGCATCTGCCCAAATCGAAGAGAAAACATTTTCATGCTACTCTGACGCACCTGAGAACAGTTCGCGCCTACTTAGACGGCTTATAAATAAATAAGAACCTACTGCCGATACTGACATTTCTTAGCTTCTCTCTCGCACCTTTCATTCTACAGACTGAACTTTCATGTTACCTTCAACAATGGAAACATCATCAGGGTCAAAGTAGGAATTATGTTACATTATTGGAATTGAAATTGAATCCACATTGCTATCTTAGCTCCTATCGCGTTATAGAATTCAAGATTCAACTCTCAAGATTTCGGGCTTCTTCTTAACGACGCGAGGTCGAGGTAACGCGTGTGACACAATGGCGAGACGTAGATGCGTAAATTCAAGCGCAACTTGTGAATGCCGAGCGTCACGAGAGCGCACGGATATTCGCGCGCGGTACATCGTCGCCTCCGTAAAGCTGGCAAAGCGAGATCGCGAGGATCTCGTAGGCGGGATGGCTCGCCGAGTGGATCCTTATTAGTGGACGAGTCGTCCTTGAACATGCCACGGGAATGATCAATATTTGTAATATAAACTCCATTATGATACTTGATCGGTGTTCCGCGGGTTAACTCACTCGGCCGCACGCTCGGCGGCCGCGAAATAATATGCGAATCGCGTATTACTTTCACGGTGAATCGAATCACCGGACACGCCGGGCGTGATGTAACTTATTCGATGCGACTTACCTCGGGACTGCATGAAGGAAAAGAGGTCGTCGAGGAATTCCTTGCGCATCGGATCGTCGGAGAGCTCGTAAAGCTGCAAACACCAAGAAGCAAAATGAGTATCACATCACACGTTGTTGCGAGAGTTCCGCGGAATCAATTATCTATTGTCATCGATCGCGGGGATATCCGCGAGGATAGATTATCACGCAGCGCGCCGGTGCAATCCAACGCGCGATTGCGTTACGCATCCGCCAAACGATCCCGTCTATTTACTCACAATCACTTGTAACGCGATTCCAATTGTACCATATCGATGATTAATTGAACGGACAATCGAGGGAGAAATCCGAAACGCCACGAGACGCGGCGCTTTACGCGCCCATACGATCGCCGGTGCTTCCCCTCCGCTTTCCTCCGTCCCGATCGGGAGAATAAAACGTTACCTCGCGGCGTGGTAATAAAAACAGGAGTGAAACAAGTGTGCTCATAGCGACAGGCAGATTAGTTAGCTCCGATTATTAATGATTCCGTTTAACCTGCCTCATAACCCGAAACCCTCGCCGGCCATACGAAAGCCAAACCCCCTTCGGGCTAGTGGCCCGTATTATCATATTTGTTATGTACGATGTGCTATATCTAATCTGAGACCCCCTAATTGCTTTTATAATATGAGCCCCGTCCACCCTCGCTTTCTCTTCTTCTCCTACTGCGCCTCCTCTGCCTCTTATTCCCCGGCGCTTTCTACTACATCCCTTAAACGCCCGCCGTTCCTTTTCCTCTACCGACTCTCTTTTCGCTCTTCGCGGCTCGCCTCGTACGTTCCGCCGCGACGATAAATTTCATTCAACTAATCGCGATGTTTCGCAACACTGCCTCTTTCCCCCAAGGGCGAACAATAATTAATTCGCTGCCTCGCGCGCGCTCGCGCCGTCCATCCTATCTAGTTTTCCGCTTACAATTAGCTTGTCCGCGGACTATGAGAGAGCAACAACGGTGAAACGAAAGTGACCGCGAGACAGAGCGCGGCCGCGTCTATATTACGCTCGAATTTCAGAACGCGGCTCGAACGTTTGAGCGCTCACTCTGTCTCGCGCGAGTTTCCTCGCGTCGAGAGACTGTCGAATAATCGAAACGCACGCGGATATCTTATTCGCGTTAATTAACCGGCCGCCTACGCTCCGACCGGCAAATCTCAGGATATCTTTCACCGACCTCCGGTTAGCGCGATCAACTATCGACTCGATCAAATTGACAAGTAGCAATTAGCTGGGCCTATTGATGCGATTCGTCAATTCCGTTAAGTTACTCACTGATTGTATTAATTGGAGGTGAAAACCAATTAACGGAATTGACCGATCGCATTAGTTCAACTAACTAGCCGATATCGTTGGGTTAATTGTTATAATTAACCAGATATTGATGAAAGAGTTCCTTATACCTTAATTTTTCATTTGCTGATTAACTTGCAGTTTAACCTGATGATGATGTAAAAATTATGTTTCCCTGTTCATGATTCGTTAAACTTGGTAAATTATCGCCACAAAACCGTCGGTTCAACGATTGCACCATGGATAGAAAAACGCAATATTAGCGTTATCATCAGATTAAGTAAACTGCGAGTCCAGCGGAAAATGAAAAGCCTTGGTCGTTAACGGGCTCGGTTAACGACGGATGTAACGGGGTAAAAGTAACGCGTGGTTCGCGTTACTATCGCACTCGGTGACTCGACAAGTATGAATGACTTTTTTTATAATAGCGCCATGGGTATCGCGTGGCGAGAACCCTTTTGATGCGCTGCGGAAATGGAGAAGCGATACGTCAAACTGTAGCGCCCGTGTGAAGACGTAAACGTCAACGCCTGTCGGAAGAGAAAAAAAGTGCCGAGTGTGTGTGCGATATGCGCGTGGTGACAAAACGAAAATACGTATGTACATATGGGAGCGCGCGAGGTGAGCCCGAGAATAAGCGTGTTACGCACGACGGTGTGCAGCTGCGTGTCGCGTAGAACGGAGCGGTTTCTCAGCTGTGTGCAGCGGCAGGTGTAACGACCGCCACCACGTGCGGTGGAGATCGTTGTTAATCGACGTTAATCGACGAAGGGAAACGGGGAAGGAAGAAAGAGAGAGGAAGGGAGGGAAGAGGTCGCTCCCCCGTTTATTCGTACGCGGGATTTTTCGCAGTCGCGACCGAATAATCACCCTCGTCTCTCGCGTCCGCCCTCTCGATCTCGCTCACCACCCTCGACGAGATGAAGCAACGAGCGTATCGCATGAACTTAGGAACGTACGAAGGAACGAAGAAACGAACAAACGGATGGACGAACGGATGGACGGACGGACAGCATTTCTCAAGGGCCATTTTGTACCACTTTCTCGTGTTTTTTCTTTGGCTACACGAGCGATGAGCTCGTTAGGGGCAGCCGGAGGGAGAGAGGACGAAGTAAAAGGTAAGGGGAGGGGACGTAGCATAGAAGGCTGAGGGTTCAAGCGAGGTATATTGATTGATCTACAGTTAAGCGGACTGACGGCGGCCACGTGAGAGGATCAGGGAGAAGAGAGCGTACCGGAGCTCTTCTCTCTCTCTCTCTCTCTCTTTCTCTCTCTCGCTCGCTCGCTCGCAACGTTGCCCCGCGCGTGTACCTCACTACCGTGGTAAAATAAAGACGGGGCAACGGAATTTGCTCTCGATGATGCATGCGCCGCGGCCCCGCCCTCTCCTTCTCTCATCCACTGACGGCCCGGTGAATAATAATTCCTGATACGACCAGCGCGCGCGCGGGTTGATCGGACGACTTTCGTCCGGGGCAACGATGAGGAGAGCCAACTTTGTCGATGATCGATGTACGCGTGCTTAGTAACGCTAACGGACTCGAAGGTGCCCGTGATTATAGCGAGGGGCAGAGTGAAGTACGTACGGGGAGGATACATGCGCGGGGGGGAGAGGTGGGACGGGTGCGGTTCTTTGAAAATTTTAATCATCGTCTCTTAACCGCGGATTGTCGAGAGACCGATTCGTCCGGTACGACCCTGCCGATTTCACGAACCGAGGCTTGTCGAGCCTTGAAAAACTCGCCGAGCTGGGAATCTTGGCGAGGGGTGGAAAAGGGCGAGACACGTCCGGTGGTATCGCGAACGAGGGGCCAACGAGGGGAATCGATTATTGCAATTGCGCTCATTGCGCGTGAAGATGGCCGAGCCGATCTCCTACGTTCGCGTTTCTAGCTTCTTGGCCGGCGATGAACTTTACGACCTCGAGAGGCGAGACGCGATAGAGGCGGGCGAACGTGGAAGAGCGAGGTGAGAGGAACTCGCCCGCTCGGCGCACCACTGCTAGTTTTACGAGCTACGACTATCGATGCACGACTCTCCCCGCCCGTGTCAGGGAGATCGAGATAGTTTCCCTTCCGGCTGATAAGAGGTGCCAATAGTCCCGTTTAAAATGTGGCTCCACCGGCCTCGCGAATGCAGTTACAGTACGTGCGTATAGTTGGCAAGTTGCGATTGAAAGAAGAACAAATTGCCCCCCAGATGCGAATTTAGCTTCGAGTCGGCCCGGTTAATCAGTCTACGAATTAGGATTGAGATCGGATTGACATTTAGCCGATCGGAGCAAAGTTCACTAAGAGTTGATGACTTTGCTCCGATTGGCCAAATTTGAATCCAACCTCAGTTTTGTATGCGATTCGGTCGCGAAAAAGTGGCGACGGTTTCTTTCGACGGGGTTTCGCAACACATCTCGTATCCGATGGAAGGATGTATCTCCTGTGTAAGAAAGACTGAAAAACTAATTCTCCCATTGGACACGGGATGAGTTTTCGAAACTTGTCAGAAAAAGTAACCTGTTTATAATTGACAACATACTTATACAGGGAATATCTCCACCTGAGTCGGGAATATTTTTTCAGATAAACCATCTCGCGCGTGCAAATGCCTTGTAAGTTTCCGAGTCGCTGTTAGTCGCGAGAATCGCGACACCAAGGACGAGAGATCTCTTTCTCTCTCTCTCTCGAAATATGTATGTGATATTACGACGCTTCTAAGTATACGTCTCACGCTCCCCTGAAACGGATAATGATAATATGGAATCTCCATACGGCCGGGTGTATCGGAAAGGGGAGGAAGAATGTCGGCGGGCAGCCTGTGGACCTACCGCTCGCCTTCGCCGACTTATTATCTTAATTACATAATTGGCCGGCCGTGGGTTCGTGTACTTTGAAAAGCTTCGCGCACCGGGCGATATACCGTCGCGTCGCATCCGCCCCCGTGCGCACGGGGTCAACTTCCGGCCGTAAACCTCCTTAGGGATGCGTCTCGGAACGAAACGGAAGCGGGCGCAGCCTTACGTAATGCGCGCTTCGACTTTTCTTTCGAGCTTCGAGATCGAGATACCGCCGGTTAAGCGGCACGACCATGAAGAAATGACATCTTCGTGCGAGGGGCGCGCTGCACTTTCGTCACGCCGCCGATAACGCTAAATTATTGGTTTGGACGTCGCCTCGAGGGACGATGGATTCGTCAAGTCGATATCTATTCGTGAAATTTGAATTGAAACAATGCCGAAGGATGAATACAGTTCCGATTGATATCGCGAAATGCCGGGACGATTGCAACGATAATAATTGATTGAGATAAAAGGAAAGATTGCTCCACCGATTGCAAGCACCGGCTGATAATTTTAGATCGTTCAATTTGCAATTAAAAACTTTTAATAACATATCCTGAAAAAAGTGAAAAAGAATTCTTACACGGTATCTACAGTGACTCACGCGAACGCAACAATTAACGAGCGTGCATTACGCTCATCATTAACGCTTATCTATCTTCGTCGAGCATATTATCGGTTTAATTTGCCTTGTAAGCAGGGATCGTGAATAATAACGACGGCCTTTATTACATCGGCCCGAAAGTTATAAAAGTGTTATAAAAAGGAACATATATGGCGGTAATACATTGAAGCGACGTGTGTACACAAAGAGCTCAGTATCACGAGCGGAAGGACTGATTTATAGACTAATCTATGTCCCTCGCGTTCCTTTGAAGTGGTCGGATTATTATTAAATCATTCCCCGGCACGCTAATTCACCGGACCGTG